TAAAAAAAAATTGTCGTTGCCGTTTTGGGCGGGTGCACACCTAGTAGTTTTAACGTGTGAAAAAACAAAATAAATTAAAATACTTTTTTTAGGAGAATTTCGTAGATCTTATCTAAAATTTTCTTTGGAAAATACAAAAATATAAGGTTTTTAGTGTAAAACAAATATTTTTATTAAGTTTTTTTTTTTGTATAAAAATATTGTTTTTAGATGTTTTCTTAAGTCCTTTTTGAAAGATTCTTGACTTCATAAAAAAAATAGTGCAAAAGTGAAAACAAAAAATATGTGTTATATTATAAGACCACCCGACGATCAGAACTAATGTCTATTTTAATGTAAGTGACTTTAGTTATCTGGCATTTTAAATTAGATTTTTATATATTTCATAAAGGCCACGTATCCATTATAATTTGATCTTCTTCCACTAATACCACAACCAACTACCTTCCACATCTCACCACCATCATCAAGTGTAAATGTAGCCAAGATTGTTCCCGCCACCACCGCCTCCCACCAGTCACCACCAACACCGTCAACCACCCCACCCATACCATCACAACGACCGTCCACTCCACTCCTATCATCATCGTCACAACCACTTTCCATTTCCCTCTACCACCAGACTATAAACATCAAGCAAAGATGGTATATATTTAATATGGCTGCAAACACATTAGGCACTCCTTTGTTATTAACTTCCATATACTCGTTCAAACCTCACATCTACATATCACCACCCAAGAATTAATGAAAAAAAACCACAAACCAAAAAATTTAATGGTAATTGTAACACCCGTTTTCCAGATTGAATCAGAGTATGACATAAAGGAGTCATGTGTCACGACGTGACCATAGGGAGGTCACGACATGACTAGCCAAATGAGAACGCGTATTTGGAGGATTGTGATGACGTGACATGTATATGGTCACGACGTGACAAGGGCTGCAACCCAAGCCCATGATCTTTTAGGGTTTCTTTTGTATTTAAACCTCCTTAACTCGAATTAGGGTTCGTTTTCAGCTCCATCACTCTTAAACCTCATAAACCCTAACCCTAATCCCTCTTGGTGGTTCATGGTTCATTTTATTGGTTTTGGTGCTCTTTGAAGGAAGTAAAAGGAGAATTGGTGCAACGATCAAGCAACCAACACCTTCTCATCTTTGACATCAACTTTTGGATCATTTGTAAAGATTCAAGTTTCTACCTTTATTGTTTATTCTCTTAGATCAAAGTTGTTATAGTCCCTTTTGATTAATGGTTTTTATTTGCGTGAATGGATGGAATAAAGTTGGCAACTTTATGGTCCTCCTGTCCCTAGAGCATCATATCTTATGGATTTAAGAATTGGATGTGGTTTGTGAACCTTGCATGGTTTTAGATCATTTTCTTGCCTTTTGACCTAGGTTGGGTGGAGGACATGCATGGAGCATGCATGTCCATAAAGTTGTCATTTTTATGAGCCTATGAATTCACTTAAAGCTTTCTGGAAAGTTGGAGTTGATGACTTAATGGATTAAGGACTCAAAATATTAAGATGTTGCCTCAGGAGGTGGTCACGACATGACATAGGGAATGTCACAACGTAACAATGGTGGATCTTTCATCTATCTTGTCCTGTTGTGTTCACGACGTGATCAAGGAGGGTTCACGTCGTGGTGCTTGCTAAGTGAGTTGTCTGTGACCGAGTTGGCTGAGTTGGTGCAAGACCGAGTTTGGAATCGGACTGTGTGTGTTTCCATGATGTGGCCAAGGGATGGTCACAACATGAAGGTCAACTGTTAGTAATATTGACTTTCACTTTGACCATTGACTTTTTGGCTTGGTTGACTTTTGGCTATTTTGCTGGATTCAGGGTATAGACTAAGGTTGGACCTTATATGTTTTGTTAGGTGTGTTATAACACCGGTTGTGTGGCATTGAGTTGTGGTTTAGCTGATTTCGTGAGTCAGGTGAGTCTTCTCACTATACTGTGTAGGATGTTATGTGTCTTTGTGACTCTTGCATTGTATGCTGGGCGGGGCCCATTGGTATGCTAGGATGGACCCATTGCATTGTTGGGCTGGGCCCATTGATATGTTGTGTTGGGCCTATTGTATTGGTGCGCTAGGTTGTTGATATGTCGGCATGGGCCCGTTGATGTGTTGGGTTGGGCCTATTGTATGGTATGTGGTATTTTGGGGAACTCATTAAGCTTTGTGCTTACGGTTTGTGGTTTAAACATTTTCACGTACTTCCAGTTCTAAAGGGAAGGGGCCGACTTGACTGCACAACATCCCCTAATAGGTTTTTCAGCACTGATTATTATTGTTTTACTCCGATGTTTCAAAGATACATTTTACTCTGATTGGTTTCGAAATAAATGTTTTGTGACATCCCCATTTTTACGGCCAGAAAAGACCGATTTTGTTTATGCTTAATAAATCAGAGTATCATTTTAAAAAGATTTACTTTGTGGAATTTGTCCCAAAAACATGATAATAATATCATCAATACATTTCCAAGAAATGTATTTTATTTATAAAACTCGAGATGTCATCGTCAATACAAGAAACATAAGCATAAACGAAGACTTACAACATTTCTTTACACTAATAGTCTACATCTCCTTGAATCTATCAGCAGATACATATATCATCATATCTAATTTCCTGTGATACAATAAAATGAGTGGGCCAGGTTGGAAAACCTGATAAGTACATAGGGTTTTCAACCCACAATAATATAGTTAATATGTTTAATTATCAAACCATTAGCCTAATTACCCATCCCTGTTTTCTTATCTATTCTTCCCTAGGGTTATATCCTAAGGGTCATCACCTACATCGTATTGACTTATCATCTCCTATATTAAATAGGTGCGAAGTTCCTCACTGTCAGTGTTTATCTAATAGACACTAAGTCCATAGCTACAAACGTTTAACTAATAGGCACTAAATCCATAATTCCCAGTGTTTATCTAATAGGCACTAAGTCCATAGTTGTCAACGTTTAACTAATAGGCACTAAGTCCATAGCTGCCAACGTTTAACTAATAGGCACTATGTCTATAGTTGCCAATGTTTATAGGCACGAAGTCCATCACTGCCAGTGTTCTATGAGACTAACATCAATCAGTCTGGTAGTCATCACCTATTTATCACCAATCTAACATCACCTATTTCTCATTACCCATCACTACCCAATTCATGTTATAAGTGTAAAATACTTATATAATTAAATAAATTAAATATCATCTGATATTATTTTATCTAACACATATCACCTTCGGCACAGATAATAAGCATATAAGCATGTAATTATCTACATACTTCATATCTATGTGTAAGATGAAATGGACCATGCACTCACTTGTTAAAGAGATGACTCGAAACTTGGGCAGAGCTTCGCTTCTAGAAACCAACCTTTCCTTTGATGTGACCTAGTATCATTATCACTAAGTTTTAGTTTAACGTTCTACGTGGCTATAGATAGTCTAGACCTATCAATCATTCAAATGAACACTGATAGTCTAAATAAGGATCAACCAGGCAGGACAATTGGGCGGCATGATCATTTCAGCATAATAGCTTTTCTGAAATCCAACAACCAAGCCATCATGATCATTCTAGACACCTCTCTCGTAAGTAGGTTAATCAGTATAACGACATGGAATTACTGATAAATCTTATTTATAGGTTCATAATAACGATTTATGACTATAAATATAAGTTACACAGAAAAGACTAGAGTGTAGCTTAACTTACAGAGGTTCTTCCTGACAGAAGCTAGGAAATTGAACTGGCATAGCTTCTACTCGCTAGCTACTACTTCTTTAGGGATCGCAGAGCTTCGCCGAAGGCTAAAACTAAAGGAAATGGGCTAAAATCGAGAGAATTTCGAGAGAGAGGGGGATGGGGAGTGAGGAAGCAAATGATCAACTAAAGTCTATTTATAGCACAACTGCGCGTCACGCACACCTGAGACGTCGCTCCTCCTATTTTCTGCCACTTGTCGCAAATATGGTGGTACACCCCCCGCCTTCTAAAAGGTGCGCACCGTGCAACCCACCTACACGTGAGGCTTCTCGGAAAAATTCAGAAAATCGTATCTTCTTCATACGAGCTCCGTCTTCGACGTTCTTTATATCCATGGAAAGCTCTCGACGAGATCTACAACTTTCGTTTAGACTCTGTCGGCTAATTTTGACTTTATTTTTAAAGCTATATTTTTAACAGGCTTAGACTGTTAAAGTCCGTTAAAAATTCATAACCTCCTCATATGATATCCGTTCTCGATTGTCTTTATATCGACGGAACCATATGGACGAGATCTTCAACCCTCGTTTAGATTGTTTTTCCTAACAATCAACTGATTTCTACTTCGGTTTCTAAGTCATATACTACTACGCTGAAACTTCTAAAAATCCTAACTTCCTTTTACGAAGTAATTTAGACGATATCTATATGCATGAATTCGCTTTTACGATATCTACGACTTTTGTTCAGATTACTAAGGCTAATAAGCAACCTATCCCCAACTCACTATTTACGGCATACCGTTTGAACGCGAAACTTCGAAAGGTCGTAACTTCTTCACTCGAAGTTGGATTTGGGTGTTCATTATATGTACGGTATCCTCATCATATATACAATAATTTGGTTAAGATTATTTATCCTAAATAATCATTCTTAAAAATTCATTATTATGGCTTATAATAACTTTATTGCCTAGCCCAAATTTGTAGGTGTCTTATGTTTGTATGGATTTAATGATTTAAAAATGAAAATTTTATTGACATTTTTGGGAAGTTATAGTAATCTAAGTTGAAGAAGACCGTTCGTCATAAACCCAAAAGTTCAAACCCAATATTTGATCTCGAAAGCAAAGCTCATTTATCGTTCTCACAATCCGCCGAAGCTTTTAAGAACACAATTTGAGGAAGAAAGTGAGAAAAACCAGATTCCTTTAGGTGCGTTAGCTTCACACTTTCGTCGATTTCATTGAAATCCCTAATTAGGGATTATATGTCGACAAGAACAACGTCGTAAATGGCAAGCATTTTTTCTAGGGTTTTAGGAGAAATCTCCCCTGCGATTCCAATTGCCATATCGAAATTGAAATTCACTTCATCCTGTAAATCTAATGGAGAAATAGGGTTGTATGATCGGACCTGTTTAAGAAACTGATCCTCGCGCATGATTTTTGATGGATCAGATGTAAAGTAAGCATGGAAGATGGTTGTTTTTCCTGATGGGTATACCATTTGGGTATGATTGACAATGACGCTATAAGAGAAATCAGGATCCATTTTTGATTCAAAATCGAAGGTGATGTTGAGGCCGTCAAGGACGACAATGATGGAGACAACACTAAGGAGACAACACTGCTTAGGGTCTCGTCGAGTACTACCTCGTCTTTGATGAGAGCGTCGGTAGTTACCGACGATTAGACCTCGGGGTTCTCGATTTCCTCATATATTAAGATGGGTTTTAGAGGAATTGATGGTTACTACGTTATGGGTGAGTGTATTGATTGTTTGTGATGGGGTTGTTGGGGATTTCAATGGTGGTTCTTTTAAGGGAAAATGCTACTCATAAGCTACTGTAGAAGAGGGGTCGGATGTAGATGATGTGTGAATTTAAATTCTTATAAAAAAAGTTAAAAAAATAAATATTTATCTACATGGACAAGCTTACTTCAATATCACCCGTGACAACTGAAAATGGTAACTTGTAAACTGATAGGAATTGAAGTCATTCCCCTATTTAACATGTAAATTGATCTTTTAGGGACTTATTATGCAAAAAAAAAGTTAATTAAATGGGTAAAAAACAAAATTTTATTGTGTTACAGGAACATTATCTTTTTACTGTCATCCCGTTCATGAATTCTAAGCCCATTTAGCATTTAGCATTTAGTATCTATGAAAAATTGCAAAATTAATGATTATTATTATATATATATTAAAATTGTGGAAGAAAAGAATAGTAAAATTGACATACTTTGTCCAGCTTTGGCCCCTTGATTTACATATCCGGTCCCTGTACTTCTTTAATTAATTTATTCATGTCCTTTTGTTTGTGTTCCATTCAACTTCCCATTTTTTTGGCAGAATTGGTCCCTGTATTATTGTTGGAAGTTAGGAATACTAAATTTGGATGTTTTTTGACAACTTTGCTCATTATTCTTTACCAATTTTGACATTTTTGGTCATTGCAATCAATATTTTTACACTTTTTGGAACCTTTTAATATTTAAAGTTTGGCCACAAAACTTTAACGGTTTGACAACTTTGATCCATTTTCTAAAAAGTTGCTAATTCCTACCCCTTTAATTCTTTAGCCATTTTCACACTTTTGGTCATTGCAGTCAAAACTTTTACATTTTTTGTCCGGGGCAAAGCCCAGACTTTTCATCCTTGCACTTTCTATGTCTGTCATATTTATCAATTCGGAAACAACATTGAAAGCTTCTGGCCCCGCGTAGCGGGGTAACCTTTCTAGTTTTTATTAATATTATAATATTTGTTTAAATCTTGAATAACGGTAAAATGGATTTCAGAATTTGATTTTCTCTTAATTTAATCATTAAATATTTTAGGAACAACCCTTTTATAAATATCACTTAACCATTAAAATTTCTATGTGCACCTAACGGCATTATGTTCTTAAAGTTTGTCTTATATTAATGAAGAAAATTATTACAACAGTCCTGGAAAGTTCAAGAACCACTCTTGCAAATGGTGAATTTTTTTATTTAAATTTCATGTTAAAATTTTAATTATTGTAATATTTAGGCGTGGTATATAAGGGTATTAAAAAATAATGCATCATGAAATGGAATGATGGAAATGAAGGAGAAGTAGGGTTTACATAGAGTGATAGAACCATAGAAGATGTCATATGATATGAGAAGTTGCTTTCCACCTAACCGACTCACCTTTATTCGTCCTTCCCTTCTCCCTCTTTCATGGATGCACCTCCGTTACTCCATTGATTCTGATACACATTCCACATTTTTCCATTTCCTAATGGCCAACTTACGCCCCGCTTTCACTAAATTCATCTCTCTCCTCTTCATCCTTATCCACCTTGGTTGTTTCATGATCTTCCCCACCTCCGATCACCACCGTCGTCGGTCCAAAAAGACCAAAAACCCATCGTCTCCGATCCCACTCCTCCGCCCCACTGCCACCAAACTTAAACCCCACAAAACCCTTTCCGCCTCTTGGTCTTTTATCAAACAAATCTTCTCATCCAAACCCACTTCCCAAACCGACAACAATTCATCCATTATCCATCATGTACCATCTCCGGCCTCCTCCACTCGCTCCTTACGTAATTCCACCATTAACGCCCCTCTGGAAACAATCCTTCTGGACCCTCAACAACAAAGAAACCGACCCGGATCTCTAACTGAATCCGACTTCTTCCCTCTCCGCAACGACATCTACCCCTGCCCCAACTGCGGCGAGATTTTTCAAAAGCCCGGTTTGCTGGAACAACACCAGGCTTTCAAACACGCGGTGTCGGAGCTATTCGACGAGGATCCCGGGAAAAACATTGTCCGGATCATATTCCACACGGGTTGGCCAATTAACGGGAAGAACCCGATGATTTACCGGGTCATGAAGATCCACAACAGTCCCAAGATACTTACCCGGTTCGAAGAATACCGTGAGATCGTAAAATCGAGGGCGGCTAGACACGGTGGAGGACGACGAAGAGACGAACGTTGTATCGCCGACGGCAACGAGCTTCTCCGGTTTCACTGCGCCACGTTCTTGTGTGACCTGGGGCAAAATGGTAATTCCAGCATCTGCAGCCATCAGTACTGCAGTGTGTGTGGGATCATTCGGGTCGGGTTCTCATCCAAATTGGATGGCATATCAACGTTATCAACTAGTTGGAAAGGACACATGGCACTCCCGGAAGACCTCGAGGAGGAATTCCGGTTCATGCACGTGAAACGGGCTATGCTCGTGTGCCGAGTCATAGCGGGTCGAATCGGGTGTGACCCGGAAATGGGGGACAAGGATGACCCGGGATATGATTCATTGGTCGGGGGTGAACCCGGTGGGACACATACCAGGTCGGACGAAGAGGATGAATTGATTGTTTTTAATCCAAGGGCTGTGCTTCCTTGTTTTGTGATTGCGTATACAGTTTGATTATGATCGTGTGGCTATTGATTAGGATCTAGAACAGGCTTTTGCAACAAGATCCCAAGAACTTGTTGCTTTTTAGTGCGAGGATGATTGCGCCCACTTTGTTGTGTTATGTAATTTATGGTTTGTGGAATGATGACTTGTACTTTAAGCTTTAAGGGTTGTTTAGTATTTATGAGATTGAGTCTCATGTGTCCACCTTAATCTTGGTTTTCTTTGAACGAATAGTCTTTACTCTTTATTGAATGTTACTTTTTGTATGTAGACTTGGGAAAAAGTAGTTTTGCAATTGGACTGTGTTATAAGGTTTGACTAGCATAGGAAGCATTGACTAGGGGTAGGGGGTGCTCAAAGTAGGTTTTAACAGAAACCGGTTTCATTAAAATCGGACTAGATATAATTTTTAAGTTTTGATTTTTCGGTTAAAAATGAACCAGTTTTGATCTGATTTTTCTTGATTTTTTAAGGGATATAGATAACTAGTTTCAAATTTGGTTTATCTTTTTAATAATAATAATAATAATAATAACTGATTTCGGATTAATTTAGGAAATCCATTTTTTTTTTAAATTCCAAATTTACCATATATATATATATTTTAAAATAAAAATCGGTTTTTAAAATTGCATAAAAAACCAGTTTTCTCACTTTTTTTTAAGCCAACCCATTAGATCAAATATATCCAGCTCGGTTTTTCATAACTGCTTATATGAAAAAACTCAATTGTTGTTTGTGTGCCTCTAGCTCAGAGTACTCTCTGATCCTGTTTTCACTCTTGACCAATGAATGTTTCAAGAATCTTATGTATCTTTATTTTTGTGAGAATTATATGACCACATGCAACCATTTTTTTGGTTTACTATTTGAAACAAAGAATGTTGACCGAAAAGGAAATTAATCAAATCTTCCGACTACTTAGTGAAAACACGATTTCATTTCTATCCAAACAATCTCGTTACTTTGATCTACACCACCTTTAAGGTCCAAATTTCCAAAACTTTTTAACATGTGTTGATGTGCAAAAAAAACTATTTTTTTTTAAACTTTGATGAAAATTATTAAAAACTCATTTTTTCACCAAAACAGATTCTCTCATCCACACCCCCACAATCATAATACCCATAATCTCCATACCTAGAGATTTACTTCGTGAAATTCCATAAAAGTACTTCAAATTCTCATTTTCCTAAATGCTCAATTTAATCGTTGTTTTTTGGTCCGCTGATTTATGATATCCAAGTCCATTGCTACATGCTCAAACTGGATGAAACTCTCTTTTAAGAAAGATTAATTGGTGTGGCCAAAAGAACTAATTTATGAAAAGTATGGACCTAGTATCTACTTCCATTGAGATATATCATACAACAAACAGGAAGATTTGTCAAAACATGATTCTGCTATATAACTTGTATCAAGATAATTGATAAAGCTTGGTTTGACAACCATAAAAAGGGTAAGTATAATTGTTTTAGAAGAAACCGACATATCTATTTTGTGTGGTTGTCACTATCATAACAATAAATATAGAGGGTTTCAATCATGGATGGCTTTTGTTAACGAGATAAAAAAGTGAGTGTTGTAAAGTCTCAGTCTTTACTACTTGAAAATGACTCTTTCCCAAAAGTACTTATGGAACATTTAGGTATTTACACCCACCTGTAATTTTTTCAAGAGAATATATATATATATATATATATATATATATATATATATATATATATATATATATATATATATATATGAAAAACTGTTCAAACGAGAATAATTACGAAATCAAGTGTTAAAAAAATTGGTTATTTATTGCAAGATTAACATTGAGAAGTTTTCTTAACCTTGGTTGGTTTTGTAAGTTGTTGGAAAGTATCTTGTGAGTATATTATTATGCAGAGTATGTTGTGTTAGTTGTTGAATAGTACAGGGGCTGCGACTCGTTTGCTAAACTCTTACAATGACATGCAGATCTTATTTCAGGTGTGGATGTCGGTTTTGGTTCGGATTAAACCGAACTTGATTCGGAGTTTGTACCTGAGATTTATATTGTTGGTAGTTCTGTTTTGGAGCATCATATCATACGTTTCATCTCAAAGGTTACTCTCCAGTTTTCTCTCGTCTTCCTTCCACATATTAGGGTTTCGTATGAGTTTTGTTCATCTTGTTCATAGAGTCTATAATGAAGTTTCAAACCACTTTCTTTTTTGTTTCTGTTTGAGTGTGAGTGAATTTTGTAGGAAAGGTTTCACTTGTAAGTTCTGAAAGCCAACTGGATCTTATTTGCATAAATAAAAGAATTGTTGATGTTGTGATATCCTTTGTGTTTTTGACATGGTATCAGAGCAGGTGTAATTCTTGCATTGTTTTTTGTTCTTCTGATTGTGTCTGATTCGAATTAGGGTTTTTCGTCTTCCTCGAGTTAGGGTTTTCCTTGTTGATAAATTAAGTATGATTCTCAATATTGTGCTTTTTTGTATCGAGTATGTTTCTCGATTTTGTGTTCTTTTGTGTCTCTCGGTGTCGTTCTGTTAGTAGATCGTGTTTTCATAAATTCATCTCAGACATCGTCGTTTCTTGAGAGTAAACGTCTGCTTGATAGTGAACGTTAGATCTACCGACTTGTTACTTCTAACAGTTAATTTCAAGCCCACTGTCAACCTCAAGAGCGAAAACGGTACAATATGAGTGGTTCTGGTCGTTTCTGGCATTTGAATGTCGTATATGCTTCAGTGTTAGGTTCTATCGATTGTGATAGATCTAACGGTAAACTACTTAGCTGTGTTGCATAACGTGTTTGAGGAATATTGTAAGTTTCACACACTTTATCTCTTACTTGTTCTGACTTGTTATGTTGCATCATAGAGTGTGTTTGTGGAATTTTATAAGTTTTGCTGTCTTTATCTCTTGTTTGTTTAGGTTTTGTAACATCTCAAAAATCACAACCAATTTAAACTTTTCAAATCAACCCATTTACTAATAAAAGTGTTTACAAAACCATGGTTTTCAAAACATTGTTCAAAACAGAGTCTCCCAAGATCAACAACATAAAAATTAGGATGTGTACGGTCACGCCTTCGCATTCCCACGATCCTCGGAAGTACCTGAAACCATAACCAAAAACTATAAGCCAACGCTTAGTGAGTTTCCCCCAAAGTACCACCACACAAAACACATATCATAAACGAATAAGCATGCTGGGTCCAATCAGTCATCGGATTGGAATATCCACGAGTCCATAGCCATCGGGGTGGATTACCCCCAGCCCAATTAGTCATTAGACTGGATTGCCAATATACAACAGGTCCACTTAGTCATCGGACTAGAATGCCAATATACAACATGCCTACTCAGTCATCGGACTGGAATACCCCCGGTCCGTTGACTCACGCACATAGCAGTAAAGTCTCAACCCAACACAATATGTTGACATATAACAAATAACAAACAAATAATCATGCAACCAGAAATCACAGGTAGTCTTACAGATTTACCGGTCTACGTATATCAACAACTATCATATAATCATACAGATATATCCCATCTTCAGCATATCATAAATCAATGTATAACAAGATATCAATCCAATGGGCCGGTCTTGGTGCCTTCGACCTATAAGTACAGTGAGGAAAAACTCACCTCACAATCTGAAGAATAGCTGATCAATACTCTGCTCCCAAATACCGGCTCAACCCAAATCCTAAATGTCAAAACATTATCCATTAATAATGTTTTCCCCAAAATACCCTTGGTCAAACTTGGTCAACGGTCAGAAGTCAAGTCAACACCTAGCCGAGCCAACCCAACCGAGTACGCTGGACATACTCTTCTATACGCGGGGCGTACTCGGTTTTTGACCAGTTTACGGGACGCTGAACACGTACGCGCAGCGTACCACTTGGTACGTGCATCGTACGTGCCCTGTTCAACCCTTACCCTATTAAGAGTTTAATACTTTAAATCTTCACGTCTAAAGTCGGATCCAAAGCCAAAATACCCCCAAGAGTCATAAAGTTTCTAACTTTATGACTTTGCATTTCCCTTAAGTGCTTAAAACACAAAATCTCAACATCTTAATGCATTAAGACCTTCTATAGCATTGCATGGAGCAAAACTAACCATCAAGACTAAATTTTTATGACTTAAGACCCCTCCTAAGGTCTGAAAGGATGACTTATTGGGTCAAGAACATTCCATGCTCAAGAATCACCATATTTGGGACAAAAAGTGTCTTCAATGAAGAAATGTCTAGATCTACTAGATAGAGTAATCAAGTTGTGAACTTTATACCTCCTGGAGGTTGCTAACAAGAAGGAAATCTTAGATCCAAGATGCTTCCAAGCTCCAAGCTCTTCTCACCACCTTCTTCTTCTTCAAGAACACCTCCAAAACACTCCAATGGGCTCAAAATGCACTCTTCTCACTTAGGGTTTGCTTGGGGTCGTTTTTCACAGAAGGAGGCTGATGAAGAAATGAGACATGAGGCTATAATGGAGTTTATATATGGACCAAACCCAAACAATTAGGGTTTGCACTTTCTTCACGTACGCCCCGCATACGAGGTGTACGCCTAGCATACTAGGGCGCGCCATAGTATGCCTAGCGTACACAACGTACGCTCAACATACTACACCTGGAAAAAATTACCATATTGCCACCATGGGCCATTTTGCAATCCCTTTCAACCCCAGGGGCTACAATAAAATATTATTCGAACAGAGGGTTGAAATTGAATTTACCTTGACATCGGGATATTATAGGTTTTTTTCTTGGGCGTTCTTCTGTTTGTGTTCTGCGTCTAATTATTATGTTTGTTGTGATTCACACAATTTATTGATAACAGAGGGTCGTTGGTCCTATGGTTGTACTGACTTGTCTTCCCCAAGAAAGGTGGATAGAGTCTGGATTAGTACAGTCACCGGTTTAGCCAAAGGAACTCAACCCGGTTGTCACATAAGTTATATTAATCATGTTTGGAGAATCTCCAACTCCTGGTTCTAGATCTAGATCAAAGA